CATGCTAGAATTGTATTAACCGGAAACATAATACATGTGTGAATACATAGACAAACTTAGTGTCACTAGTATGCCTCTACTTGACTAGCTCGTTAATCAAAGATGGTTATGTTTCCTAACCATAAACAAAGAGTTGTTATTTGATTAACGGGATCACATCATTAGGTGAATGATCTGATTGACATGACCCATTCCATTAGCTTAGCACCCGATCGTTTAGTATGTTGCTATTGCTTTCTTCATGACTTATACATGTTCCTATGACTATGAGATTATGCAACTCCCGTTTGCCGGAGGAACACTTTGTGTGCTACCAAACGTCACAACGTAACTGGGTGATTATAAAGGAGCTCTACAGGTGTCTCCAAAGGTAGATGTTGGGTTGGCGTATTTCGAGAATAGGATTTGTCACTCCGATTGTCGGAGAGGTATCTCTGGGCCCTCTCGGTAATGCACATCACATAACCCTTGCAAGCATTGCAACTAATGAGTTAGTTGCGAGATGATGTATTACGGAACGAGTAAAGAGACTTGCTGGTAACGAGATTGAACTAGGTATTGGATACCGACGATCGAATCTCGGGCAAGTAACATACCGATGACAAAGGGAACAACGTATGTTGTTATGCGGTCTCACCGATAAAGATCTTCGTAGAATATGTAGGAGCCAATATGGGCATCCAGGTCCCTCTATTGGTTATTGACCGGAGATGTGTCTCATTCATGTCTACATTGTTCTCGAACCGTAGGGTCCGCCCGCTTAACGTTACGATGACAGTTATTATGAGTTTATGCATTTTGTTGTACCGAAGTTAGTTTGGAGTCCCGGATGTGATCACGGACATGACGAGGAGTCTCAAAATGGTCGAGACATAAAGATTGATATATTGGATGACTATATTCGGACACCGGAAGCTTTCCGGGGAAGTTTCGGATAAAACCGGAGCACCGGGGGGTTACCGGAACCCCCCGGGGGGTTAATGGGCCTCATGGGCCTAATGTGGAGAAGAGGAAGGGGCTGCCAGGGCAGGCCGCGCGCCCCCTCTCCCCCTAGTCCGAATTAGACAAGGAGGGGGGGGGCGGCGCCCCCCTTTCCTTCTCTCCCTCCACCTCTCCTAGTTGGACAAGGAACGGGAGGGGAGTCCTACTCCCGGTAGGAGTAGGACTCCTCCTGCACGCCTCCATAGGGCCGGCCGCACCCCCCCTTGGATCCTTTATATACGAAGGCAAGGGGGCACCCTAGGACACACAAGTTGATCCACGTGATCGTTCCTTAGCCGTGTGCGGTGCCCCCTGCCACCATATTTCACCTCGATCATATCGTTGTAGTGCTTAGGCGAAGCCCTGCATCGGTAGAACATCATCATCGTCACCACGCCGTTGTGCTGACGGAACTCATCCCCGAAGCTTTGCTGGATCGGAGCCCGGGGAGCGTCATCGAGCTGTACGTGTGCTAAGAACTCGGAGGTGCCGGAGTAACGGTGCTTGGATCGGTCGGATCGGGAAGACATATGACTACTTCCTCTATGTTGCGTCAATGCTTCCGTTGCGGTCTACGAGGGTACGTAGACAACACTCTCCCCTCTCGTTGCTATGCATCACCATGATCTTGTGTGTGCGTAGGAAAAATTTGAAATTACTACGTTCCCCAACACATATAGAGTTGCTCCTGCTTTGAAGGATGAATTGGAGAAGCAAGTGAAAGAAATGTTGGATTCTGGTGTGATTAGACCTAGTAACAACCCTTTTTCTTCCCCAATGTTGTTGGTACAAAAGAAGGACCATTCTTGGAGGCCTGTTTTTGATTATAGGCATCTTAATGCTATTACTGCTAAATGCAAATATCCAATTCCAGTGATTGATGAGCTTTTGGATGAGTTAGCTGGTTCTTCATGGTTTTCAAAAAATGGATTTAAGATCAGGTTATCATCAGATAAGGCTTGCCCCTGGAGAGGAGTATAAGACTGCATTTCAAACTCATAATGGGCATTTTGAGTTTTTGGTTATGTCACAAGGGCTGACTGGGGGGCCAAACACTTTTCAGTTTGCTATGAATAGTGATTTGTCCCCTGTGCTGAGGAAATGTGCAGTGGTCTTCTTTGATGATATTCTAGTTTTTAGTGCTATTTATGCACTTCATTTGCAACATTTGGCAGAAGTACTTCAGTTGTTACTTAAGCATCAATGGCAAGTCAGATTATCCAAGTGTGCTTTTGCTCAGCAAGAAATTGGATATTTAGGTCACATTATCAGTGGTGAAGGTGTGTCCACTGACCCTGCTAAGATCTCTGCTATTCAGGATTGGCCAGTTCCTGTGTCTGTTAAAGAGGTAAGGGGATTTTTGGGCTTGGCTGGATATTATAGGAAGTTCATTAAGCTTTATGGAGTTATTAGTCGGCCCCTCACCTTGTTGCTCAAAAAAGGGGTGTATTTCCATTGGACAGATGTGGAACTACAGTCCTTTGTGGCCCTCAAAGAAGCTCTTGCTTCAGCACCAGTGTTAGCACTTCCTGATTTTTCAAAGAAGTTTATTGTGGAAACAGATGCTTGCGATGTGGGAATTGGAGCAGTTCTTATGCAAGATGGTCACCCCTTAGCTTATGTTAGTAAGGCCTTGGGCCCCAGGAATCAGGCTCTCTCTGTTTATGAAAAAGAGTATTTAGCTATATTTCTTGCTATAGATCATTGGCGACAATACTTGCAGTTATCTGAATTTGTTATTCAGACAGATCAGAGGAGTTTGGCCAGTTTGTCTGACCAGCGTTTGCATACAGTTTGGCAACAAAAAGCTTTGACTAAATTGCTTGGTCTGACTTACACCATTTGCTATAAAAAAGGAGTCGAGAACAGAGCTGCTGATGCTTTATCTAGGAGGCCCCACACTGCACAGGAAATACTCTCTGAACTTCATCATATCTCTTCTGTTCAACCATTGTGGTTGGAAGATATCATTCAGAGCTATGTTGATGATCCCTTTTCTGCTGCATTATTGCAACGATTGGCAATTGATCCTTGATCTGATAAGAAGTTTTCCTTGAGAGCTGGTATTTTGCACATTGATCAGTGCATTTGGGTGGGTGCTAAACCTCAGTTGCATCATAAATTGGTCAGTGCTTTCCATGATAGTGCAATTGGTGGACACTCTGGTTTTCCTGTCACCTATAAACGTGTGAGACAGTTGTTTCGTTGGGCAGGAATGCGAGGTTTTATTAAATAGTTTGTGCAACATTGTTTGATCTGTCAGCAAGCTAAGCCCGAACGTATACCATATCCTGGTTTGTTGCAACCCTTGCCAATTCCAACATTGCCCTGGGAAATGGTGTCTATGGATTTCGTTGAAGGTCTCCCCACATCTGGCAGGTATAATTGTTTGTTGGTGGTCATTGATAAGTTGACAAAGTATGGTCATTTCATTCCCTTGCAACACCCCTTCACTGCTATGTCTGTGGCTGAAGCGTTTCTGAATGCAGTTTATTGTCTTCATGGCATGCCACTGTCCATTGTGTCAGATCGTGACCGAGTGTTTACTAGCCTTTTTTGGAAGGAGTTGTTTGCTAAGACAGGCACCTTGCTTCGCATGAGCTCTGCTAGACACCCACAGACGGATGGCCAGACTGAACATGTGAATCAGCAAGTAGAATGCTTTCTTCGATGCTTTGTCAGTGCACATCCCACTCGTTGGGCACAATGGATACCCTTGTGTGAGTTTTGGTATAATACGAATTGGCATTCGGCTACAGGGCAAACACCCTTTGAGGTTGTTTATGGGCATACTCCTCGTCACTTTGGTATTTCTGTTGATGATACAATTCAGTCTGAAGATCTGAAACAATGGCTTGATCAACGCAAGGTGGTCCTCGATTCAGTTCAGTAGCATCTGTCTCGTGCGCAACAGCGAATGAAAGTTCAGGCAGATAAGCATCGTACTGAGCGTTCGTTTGACATTGGGGATTTTGTGTTCCTCAAGTTGCAACCATATTTACAGTCTTATGTTGCTCCACGTGCTAATCATAAGTTGGCTTTTAAGTTTTATGGGCCTTTCAAGATTATTGCTCGTGTGGGAGAAGTGGCTTATGAGCTGGCTTTGCCTCCTTCTAGTAAGGTCCACCCGGTTTCCATGTTTAACTGTTGAAGAAAGTCCTGGCTCCTGGTTGCGAAGCACTTCGACAACTGCCTTCTTCTACTGCTCATCTTCAGGTGCCTGTTGAGATTTTGCAACAGCGAGTGATCAGACGTGGTTCTAGTTCCTTGGTTCAAGTTTTGGTTCGTTGGAGTGATTCTTCTGATGAACTCGCCACTTGGGAAGATAAGGAGACGTTGAAGCAAATGTTTCCAAGGGCTCCGGCTTGGGGACAAGCTGCTTCTAAGAAAGGGGGAATTGTCAGCGATCAGGCCAGCAGGAGTGCATCAGATGAGCGCGAGAAGCTGATTCAAGTGACGGGCCGGCCCAGAAGGGAGCCTCGTCTGCCCGTTCGGCTCGCTGGGCCGGAATGGGCCTAGTGGACTCACTACTTAAAGAGGTTGTAGTGTGTG